CAGTGCATCTTTGTTGGCTATGGTCATGATGAATTTGGCTATAGACTTTATGATCCTGTTGAGAAGAAGCTTGTCAGAAGCCGTGATGTTATCTTTATGGAGGATCAGAATATTGAAGATATTCAGAAGATGGAGAAGTCAGAGTCTCAAAGTTATGATGATCTTGTTGATTTGAATCCAACTCCCGTGGCTCATACGCCTAATGCTACCAATGGAGATCAGAATGATGATAACAGTCATGTTCCACATGATTTTACCGATGGTAATGTTGAAGAAGAATCAAATGAGGTACATAATCAACCTCATGTTGATAACAATTCACCTACAGTTGCTCTCAGGAGGTCTACAAGGGAAAGATTTCCCTCTACTCGTTATTCTACTAATGAGTATGTGCTCCTTACTGACGGGGGAGAACCTGAGTGCTATGAAGAGGCTATGGAGAATGAGGATAAGGATAAATGGGTTGAGGCAATGAATGATGAAATGAAATCATTGCATGATAATCATACTTTTGAGCTAGTCAAGTTGCCCAAAGACAGAAAAGCTTTGAAGAATCGGTGGATCTATAAGTTGAAGAATGAACAGGGTGCTTCATCTCCACGATACAAGGCTAGACTAGTGGTTAAAGGCTACAGTCAGAAAAAGGGTATTGACTATGAGGAAATATTTTCTCCAGTTGTGAGGATGTCTTCGATTCGAGTTGTTTTGCGTCTTGCAGCCAGCCTTGACTTGGAAGTTGAACAGATGGATGTCAAAACAGCATCCTTCATGGTGATTTGGGGAAGGAAATTTATATGGAGCAACCGGAAGGCTTTGTGGTGAAGGGCAAGGAGAACTATGTTTGCAAGTTGAAGAAGAGCTTGTATGGCTTGAAACAAGCTCCAAGGCAATGATACAAGAAGTTCGAGTCTGTGATGATCCAGCAAGGATATAAGAAGACTACTTCTGATTATTGTGCTTTTGTGCAGTTCTCTGATAATGACTTCATTATTTTGTTGCTTTATGTTGATGATATGCTTATTGTTGGTCGTAACTCTTTGAGAATTGCAGATTTGAAAACAGAGCTTAGTAAGTCCTTTGCGATGAAGGACTTGGGACCAGCAAAACAGATTCTTGGCATGCAGATTACACGTGACAGAGAGGCAAGAAAGCTATGGTTGTGTCAGGAGAAGTACTGAAAAGGTGCTTCAATGATTTCATATGGAAAAAGCTAAAGTGGTTAGCACACCTCTTGCTACACAATTTAAGCTTAGCTCTATACAGTCCCCATCTAATGATGCTGAGAAGGCAGAGATGCGACGTATTCCTTATGCATCTGCAGTAGGAAGTTTGATGTATGCAATGGTTTGACAAGGCCTGATCTAGCACATGCAGTTGGTACAGTTAGCCGCTTCCTTTCTAATCCAGACAAGGAGCATTGGAATGCAGTGAAGTGGATTATGAGATATCTCCGAGGCACATCCAGTTTGAAACTTTGTTTTGGAACTGGAAAACCTGTTTTGAATGTTTATACAGATTCTGATATGGCTGGAGATATTGATACCAGGAAGTCTACATCTGGTTATTTGGTTACCTTTGCAGGGGGGGCTGTTTCATGGCAATCTAAGCTTCAGAAATGTGTTGCGTTGTCCACAACAGAGGCCGAGTTCATTGCAGCTACAGAAGCTTGTAAAGACTTGCTTTGGATGAAGAAATATCTTCGTGAACTTGGCATTATTCAGAAGAGGTATGTCTTATATTGTGATAGTCAGAGTGCTATACATCTTAGCAAAAATCCTACTTTCCATGGCAAATCTAAACATATTGATGTACGTTATCATTGGATTCGAGATGTGCTTGATCTCAAGTTATTGGAGTTTGAAAAGATTCACACAGATGATAATGGTTCTGATATGATGACTAAGGCTTTGCCAAAGGGGAAGTTTGAAACTTGTTGTTTGATTGCC